GTATCTATTTGAGTGAAAATCGGTAAAACAGGCGGATGGTTTGCGGGTTTGCAGCTCGGAAAGGAAACAAAATAATTTTTGGCCCCAGCTGAAACCTTGGGCACATGTCAAGATAACGATGACCATAATGTTTTCGATGCTATTAAGTTAGTTTTTTCTTTTATTTTTTATCATAATTTGACAATAGTAATATAACTCAGGTAGTGAAATAACTTAGGTCAACCGTAAGTCAAAACTCCAAATTGTGCCAGAAGTCATTAAGAATTCCACACAGACGAGTCACGAGCAACATGTTATGTTCTAATAACTAATTATTAACTTGCAGCTTACGCCAAGCGACATTCGTATGTTGTTAATGTGGCCACTTCTGTTCAGTTTAAACATTTTTTTTTCACTGTATACTTATATAGTAATGCAGCACCGTACAATTAAATATGTCAAAATCGTTTTAATAGACGTTGAAAACAGACCATCGACTCGTATTACACTATAATACACAGCACTTTACTGTAAGAACCAATACAATGGACAACTATGTCAGTAAGGCGAGAAGAAACCGAACTGCGTAGCCGCGTAGCTGCCTGACCGCACAGATACGTGGCTGCGTAGCTGCGTAGCCGCGTAGCTGTTTAACGGCGTAGCTATGCGGCCGTATAGCTGCGTAACCGCGTAGCTGCGTGGCCGAGTAGCTGCGCAACAGCGTAGCTGCGTAGCTGCGTAGCCGCGTAGCTGCATAATTTATTACAGCTGTTTGAACACCGTAGCCCTGCTTGGACACAGGGCCACGGTTACCACGCCACCCAGCGGCCAATACCAGACTTACTCACTGTTTATTTTGAGAAATTGATTGAGTTAGAGCTCGACCGGGGTCTACGACATTATTTACCTTAAGGATATAACAATATTATCTGTGTTGAAGCGGCCGCTCGTCCAAGTTGTTACGGCCAGAATAATTAAAGTAATTAGTTGGCGGCCAGTGACGGCGTTATTATTGTAGCGATGCGCCCCGCGGCCCCCGCCCCGCGCGCCGCACCCCGCGGCCCGCGGCCCGCCGCCGCGCCGACACGCCGGCGGCAGAGGGTAGCGTGACAGATGGCGAGCCTTCAGACTGCCTACTCTTGAGTCCGTTATTTGGGATTTGTACATACGTCGATCTATTCAAGTATTAAAGATGTCTCACCTGTAAACATAACCATTTTTAGTTCACTTTTGAACATAAATAGCAAATTATTAATATTGCATCAACTTGGACTTATTAAAATGGCATCAACTTTTACCGACTTGAACTGGCAATACAGATATTTATTAAAGTCACCACTTTTATGATGCCATTTGATTTCTGAAATGAAATACCGATACAAAATCAGAGGTCATAGACTCGTTTAAAGCCCAGACAAATAAAGAGTGTATTTGAAGTGTGGGAGAGCCATAGTTCGGCACGATTGGACCGGCTCGACCGGAGTGATACCACGGCCTCACAGAAAACCGACGTGAAACAAAGCTTGCATTGTGTTTTGCCTCATGTGAGTGAGGTTACCGGAGGACCAATTACCACAATCCTCAAATTCCCAATTCCCAAAAGGCCGGTAACGCACTTGTAACGCCTTGGTGTTTCGGTCGTCCATGGGCGGCGCCGATTGCTTACCATCAGGTGATCCGTCTGCTCGTTTACCGACTTATGCTATAAAAAAAAGAATAATGTGAGAGAACCGTGCAGGAACTTGTGGCGGGTTAGAGTCCGCCAACTGACAACACCAACCGCAACAACATTATCTCTATGTTGACCATGTTGTATTGACATGAGTTTACATGGTCCACTATTAACGTACACATGGCAGCACGTATTTTTTCATTTCAAGATTCATTCGATGCAAACTGGTCGCGGTAGACGAGTAGGCCAGTAAGTAGGTATCGCCTGGGTCTCAAAATAAGGAGTCACAGGATTGCGATCAGTCCCATCAGTCCCATCAGGGGGCTTACTCTTGAATCCAATTCCGATCGATCGACATTGGTATTGTGAAATTTCGTACTCTTGAGTTGCAACACTAGCGCCCATTGCATCCGTATTGCGTAGATATTAAATGAACTAAACGGTTTTGAGTTTGACTTTATATTCCGTACTCTGAATGCTATTTTAACAGCTACGATTGTGGTTGTATAGTTTTGACATTAAATAATTATTGAGATTTCATTGGATTGGAATTGCATTGACATTGAGATTGGTTTCAAGAGTAAGCACCCAGGTCACTGAGTACTGGACTCACTATTCTTTTTGTATCAAATATTACTAAGTTTTTCTAACGATTCAATACCTTTACCGTGATTAGGTCATTTTTAACAAAGATTGAAATTAATTATCTATAATGTGAATCTAAATTATGTATGTATGTGTTTTTACAAATTTAATTTAGCGCTCGTCCAGAATAGGGTTACATGTTTTGTTCTGGTATTTGTGCTCATCCCAACAAAACGTAGAAATTATAGAAATAACAAGTGAATGACTGCATGGACTTTAGTGTCAGCCTAGTTAAATAGTTTATTCTGATGTAGGTAATTGTTCGCTAATAATGATATGTTGTTGTTTTCAATATTTTAGTTTAGTCATTGTTGAAACATAATAATCGAATGTCAATCTGTCTCTTCGGAGAACATAAGGTGTGATTATGTTCATATTGAGTTTGATACTATAGCGTGGCCTCATTTATAATTTCACGTATCAAAAGGCGACGGACAAGAGACGAATCAGGAGGTAGTGTAGTACAGTGTGGTGTAGTACAGTGATGCGCTGCGTCGACGGACAGTCGCCACGATTGTACCTATCCGTTGCGAAGGATGAACTGAGATGCAGCTGCGACGTCGTGTGTCGTCACAACCCTGTTAGGGTATACAATGCGTTGGGCGTACGATTCGATCTAATCTATCGTTCAACATACTTCAGGGATGCTCTGGCACTGATAGAAGGTTCTTTTCATTGATAATCAAGCAGGGTCAAATCAGGGCTCCGTGGTGGTCACTAAACCCATTGAGAAATCACATTCACAGAAACAATTCTTGCAGGACAGCAGCAGGACTAGCTGGAGCCAGGCCAGCAAAGCACTTTCTGAACAATCTGAAAATAATAAGCCTCAAGGAGCACCTCAAATTTAATTATGTAATGAATTGTCACTCGAGATATTCAGTGCGATTCGTGCTTCCAAAAATACAGATTATTATTTTTTACACGTTGCCCCACACTAGGATTTTCTCCTGTGTCGTGGTCACGGTCTGGACCCGGAACAACAATCTGTGGATCAATCAAAGAGTTGTTCCGCGCGGGAATCGAACCCGCGACACGTTGCGCGCCAGCTAGTTGGCCAGCCACCGCACCAACCGTGCATTGCAGCGGTAAGTCTCCTCTTTGAGGATTAGCTTGAGAGACGCTATGGTACTGATTGGGAGTAAACGTCTGGGTGTCCTCACTGCGAGGACCGCCCAGAGCACTCGCTGGAGCAAACGATGGCGATGTGCCCTGCGAGGGCTGAGCACCGCCGTGTCCTCAGGAATGTGATCGGCGACGGGAACTTTAGCATGTGGCGTGACTTTAGAATGTGGCGGTGTTCCTGCTCCTACACCCTTGAACTTTACTTGCATGAAAGTCATACATTTTAAACATTTCTTTTATTTAATCTTCGCAAACACCTGTCTTGTTCTCTGAAAAGAGAGCGCCAGTGGCGCCACATACTCTGATTGTGAAACGTTTTTATTTCACATCAAACAATTTGCAAAAGTTGGAAAGAAATCAAAATATTTGATAAAAGGAGGCTCACAAAGCTATTTGAGATTAAGCAAGAGCAAGCAGCGGCTGAGGCCCTCCTCGCCGGCCGGCGGCGGAGGGCTGAGGGCTGAGGGTCTCCTCGCGGCTCGCGGGTAATGAAAACAAAGTGGACGAAATGTTTTAATTAATTGCACTTTTTGTTTGTTGTTGACAATTTTGTAATTAATACGTGTCTACCGGAGCGGGATTAACAAGCTGGTATAATTAATGTTCGGGCGGGACTGTCTGCGGGAGTACAGCGCGAGCCGCGACTAAACTCTGCTTATTGCTTTTTATAATTATGATTATGAGTTTACGTAGCGTTCGTAATTAATTATTAGGAGTAGTTATAGCAGCGACCATCAGTGAGTGCGTGCGAGCCGGCCACGCTAACGTCACTGCACGTCTTACAATCTAACATGCATATTGTAATGCAACGTGTTGCGGGTTCGATTCCCGCACGGAGCAACTCTTTGTATGATTCATCCTGATCCATCATTGATCGATCCTCAAATTGTTGTTGCGGGCCTGGGTGTGACGTCGCTGTATAATTGTTTAAGTAAGTAATGTAAGTGGTGTTCGATCAAACGATCCCAACAGTCGGTCGTCTGGAGATGTCTTTGTATACGTGTAGTCGAGTAGTCGTGCGAACAATAAATAAAGCTAATTAGTCAACGTATAAGGTAGTCCCCGCACTCCCCGCACTCCCCGCACTCCCCGCACTCCCCGCACTCCCCGCAGTACCTACCCGCATTGTTGTAATAAATTCATTTCGAAAGTGTCATATCAAACACAAATATATATTTGTATACAACGCGAGACCATTGTGTCAACAAGGTACAGTAAATGTACTTCACATGTAAGTGAGCTCTGCATGTTGCTATGAGAATGACATTCTTCAAACACAGCACGGTACAGGAGAGAGTCCTAGTATTACATGAGACTGTTGCAACATACAGTATCGAATGCAATAAAGTAATGAGTAATATTACAAGAGTGCACGCAATGTATTGGGAGCGTTAAAAAAAACTTTTTGTAATTTCGGTTCATTTCCTTCCCTTGATTCTGATACCTATGAATTAAACTGTGTCAACGCACGTCTGCTGGATTTTCCTCATCACAAAACAATGTTTGTGTAATATTTTATTGGACAATATCTGTTGGTAATTAACGGTTAATGGAGTGTGGTCGCGATGTAATTACAACGGGCGAGCTGCGAATGTTCATTATTTGATAAACAGCAGCAGGCGACGCGCGGCGCGATGCTGGCACTTCCCCGGACTTGGCTCACTCTCGTATTTTGTAATGTCAGTAAGTAAAGAAATCATCAAAGTAATGTTCACGTTGTAACTTTCAATTACTGCTATTGTAAAAATGTCTAAAAGATAATGTATAGTATCTACATATATAAGTGAGTTCAATAATAAATAATAGTAACAAATTTATAGTTAGTTATGCATGCAGTATCTGTCCCTAATATTATCACACCTTGTTAGCCGTACCCGCCATGGGCGGCCTACGCTGATACAGCATTCGCGGCAACGCCGGGATGTTATGACTAGCGCCCGGCGACAGCCATCCGTAGAGATAAGGACTTAGTTAGGAACATTGTATTAGATTTAAGTTAGTCTGAATAAAACTGTCGTCGAGACTCCTTGGTTTCTTTTAAAAATCCTTTGGCAGCGCCTCAGGTATTTAACTAGTTAGTCATTAAGTTAATAAATAATGCAAGATGATTATATATTGCTGCGCCCTAACAGGGCCATGTGCTGCACTGGTAGTACGTAATCCCTCTTTGCATGTACATTGTGCAATAAATAAACAATCCCATGATGAAACTCACTAGCATTACTGCTCTTTGCAAAACACCATTGTGCTTGTCATTTACAGTATTATGGAATGTAAGCTATGCTCAGTACCAATCCATTACGGCTGGTAAAATAAGGCTGAAGTTGACTTCCATGACGCGTGAGCTGGTGCTGGACGCGTGTCAGAAGATAGCCGCGATCCAGAGCTACCGGCGGGAGTACGCCCGGGCCGAAGTCTTCCAGATGGGCGACATGATACACTACATGCGCAGCACCTTCAAGAAAATGACTAAAGTGTACCAGTTGACTGACGAGTACTACTACATAAGATACGACGAAGGCTGGGTACGTCTGGTGCACCATCGACACATCGCCATCATTTATGATTCACTAATTCAGATACGCGAGGTGTGTACTGCACCACTCGCCCACTGTCCCCGACTACAGTCGCCGTCTCTCTCGCACATTATGTATTCTCGATGGCTATTTCATTGGCACGGACGGCTGTGTGACACGGCTTCCATTGTTTATCATTACTTCATCAGTTTTTACTTCCTCATTACACATCGATAGCTTCTGCTTGCGGCTTTGTCCGCGTTCCTCCAAACTTTCGCATTTGTAATATTAGAAGAATTAATATTATTAAAAGAATACTATGCCGATACTATGCGGAATGTTAAAGTAAGATATGATAGTAAGAAGTACTGGAATTGATAAATTAACGGACAAACCTGACAGTCTTTGACTGACAGATTTTGCATTTTGACGCTATTTTGTTTATGTTCATTAAAAACTACACTAGATAGTTTTGCTCAATCACATCACATACACATCAACAGCCTATGAGTGCCCACTGCTGAGCACAGCCCCTTCTTACACGAAGAAGGTTGGAGGAGCATCAATCACCACGCTTGCTCATTACGGGTTGGCGATTTCAAAAATGTAATTAGAAATTATAAGCCGATGTTTTCCTTCACCGTTTGTCAGTGGTGTCTAAATAGTCTTAGAAAGTACATATAGTAGGTATAATTCGGAAAAAGTCACAATGGTACTTGCCGTTGGTAGGTTTCGAACCCGCACCCTCATACATGGGATGCGGGCGTCTTAACATTTTTCTTTCAATATACAGAGTGTTGGGTGCATCGTGTGCCAAATTAAATGGTCGCCCAAAAGCGACCGGCTGTTGATTCTGTTTTTTGGCTGAAAATTGGCTGACTTAATGTATTCTTATGTCTAGTTTGATAGTGGTGTCCGTCCGACACTTTTATAAATAAATTGACATGGAACGGTCATAATGATGATCTCCCTAAACTTTTCTCTGTGCGATTCGCAACGACCTCGATTAGCTCTGACGGCGCACTTTTGTAAGATAAAGATAGACTCAGTGTCAGCAGCGTGTCCCTACAGCAGAATGCCACACGACATAATGCTATGAAAGTAACTGAAGTACACTAGTCTTGCCGTGCCTATGTCGGTTAACTGTCGGATCTTCCAGACAGCATAAGCTGCAGAGCTCAATCGTCCCGCTAAAGATGTAATGTGAGGACACCATTGCAATGTGTCGTCTACGTCTACTACATACACCTTGGACCGAGCGCCCAGCTTCACGGAAAGACAAACGGACGAACAATTCAATTTTTGTAGTTTCAAAAGTGCCTAATTAGTGATTAATTGAAATAATAAATAAATGCTTTGATTTCGAAAAAATGTGTAACAGCTAAGACAAAATTAAAATTATAAATACATCAAAATCAGTTGGCACACAGCAAGAAATTATTTAAAGAAAATTTTGTTATTAAAAAAGTTACCACTTATCGTGGTTCTAGCTCTCCTCAGGCGTGTACAAAATATATTTACATCATTTCCATGTCATCAGAGGTTTTAAATTCCTTTGTTGTACATAGAGCAGCCGGGCCCACTCCAAATACCTATAGTACCATAATTATCAGTACATATAAAAAAAAACCTTTATTTAAAAAATTAAAAGACCAGATTGTAAAAAAACAAAAAAGTAACAAAACAAGTTCGGTTCAGAAGCATAGTAAGTAAGTTAATTAAGACATAGGCGGGAGTAGCAGTGAGCGTAGTGTTCCACGCGCTCCACTCGAGGAAGAGATGCAGCCTCCAGGACCACTACGGGCCACCACGGGCCACTACGGGACACTACGGGCCACTAGGGGCCACTACGGGCCACGGTCACAGGCTCTGGAGGAACACCGCGGTGGTCTTAGACGGTGAGAGTCCGGCACAAACGAAATTGTTTTGTTACTCTTTAGTTCTTTTACAGTCAGGTTTTTTAAATTAATTTATTTTATTTTAAGTTTTTAAATTCTAAATAGTTGTACTTTATTATCATTTTGAAGTGCATTGCATACGTACAAAAGTATCGAGGCAATATACATCCGTTTTGTGTATTTTATAAAGATAATAAAAATGTAGATTTTGTCTTTATTGTAAACATGGCACACCATTTTGAAATCCTTTCGATGAGCCTTCTTTAATTTGACATCCATGTTGCAATATTTGGAGAACAAACAAATATTTGTAGTCTACACTGTAGCGTCTGACAGTCGCCTTGTTGGGTTTTTTTCAATGTCACATATGTAAGAACAATTGGGTTATCAAGACGTATCTGAAAATATACCTAAACCTGTTGGGTGGTTTAGAAGAAACGAAGTAATAAAGAGTATTATATCATCTACGTACGAGATACGCGAAAAACTTTCTTCAGTCGGGTCAACTATGTCCACATTACAATTGCAACAGTATCTACAATGTATTGTTCGCTAAAATGTTAGTTTTACAAAATAATGAAAACTGTTTCTGATGTGCCTTCTGCCCGCGCCGCGTATCGCAGCCAGAAATAGTACTGAGGAAATTGTTGCGCTTTTCCAGCTTTTCCATCACCACCATCAGCCCGTGTTCGTCCTCTGTTGGACATAATCCTCTCCAATGGCACGCCATTGAGCTCGCTCTTCACCTCTTCTCATTAGTTATTTATTTGTAATGTTCTGATTATTTTAACATTCGGTTTTTTGTAATGTATTATTTTCTACAGTTCCTCAAGAATTTACAAGAACTAACTCTACAAGCCAGTATGGTTGATACTATGCTGAATATTATAAAAGAAGGGACGGCAAAAAAAGAAACAAGCGCCATGCTGCACGCGCGGATGCAGCGCGTGCTGCGCAGCGGCAAGAAGCGGCCGCGCGCCCCCCGCCAGCCCAGCCCGCCCAGCGCGTCCAGCCCGCCCAGGCGTACCACCAAGAGGAGGAACCAGAAGTGGCGACACGTCGTAGATAACGACTTTGTGCAAGTGTAGAGTTTGTAAGTTTGTCGGTGGTATCTTGAAACCAGATAAATCGTGACTTGGCTGCATCATTTCAACTACTTTATGTATTAATCCGACGTGCAATACAGACGCTACTAAGAGTTTACAACACGTGCCTCACTTGCCTTGTTCGAAGACACTCGACTCGTTTACATACCTCTATTTGCGGCTAATAATAAGAGGCGGTTTGTAATTTTGCTTAAATGTCGAGTGTTTACTCGATCTTTGATATGTTTCCCTTCAGTTGTTATAATCCCAACTTCATATCAAATTATTTGTTCTGTTATGTAAGCTATTGTATACTCATTCGTGGAAATAAAAATTATCAAATTCACGACACTGATAGTACAATAAGGACGAGTCCATGGGAAATGGCGATCATCCGTCAATCCCCCCACCTCTTCGACGAAATGTCCCGCACACCATTGTATTGATATATATATTTATAAAATAACATGTCCTGACTAATCGATTGACTGACTGTCTGATTGATTCATCATCACCGAGCCCAGACTATCAATGCTACAAACATGAATTCGTACTGTTCTATTCACTTTGTTAAGTAGGCACCTACTAAGAAAGGATTTTAAATAAGTGATACATATGTATTTATTTATTTACAGAACATGGAAGACGTGCAGCTAATAAATCCAAATTAAAAATAGCAATAAGCGCAGGTATCGTCGAGCCAAATACAAAGCCTCACGTTTAGAATTATGAAGTTAATGTGATGTGACTGTGTGAGTAAGAGAGTAGAAGTACATACATGGCAAATTAAACAAAATACAAAAATATAGAGTATGCAGACCACAATGCAGACAATATGATTTCCAAAAACAAACAAACAAACATAACATAACATCACGCCTTTTATCCTCAAAGTGGTTGGCAGAGGTGCACATTATACCACTGTAAGTACAATGTAACACCCACTTTTCACTATTTATGTTATGAGTCCCATGTAATAGGGGGTGAGCCTATTGCCATATACCGGGCACAGTTCCAGACTCCGTGCTACTACTGAGATTTTTTTTAAAAACCCAGTAATACTTTGCCCGACCCGGGAATCGAACCCGAGACCCCTTACCCGGCAGTCGCACTTGCGACCACTCGGCCAACGAGGCAGTCCAAAAAAGAAAGAAAGTGATTTCCAAAAAAGAAATTAAAAATATAAATATGTTATTGCTGCTAGATAAAATTGAGGCTTAAGCACTCTTTTCCCGAATTCACAGTAATTGTAAAAGGATCGAAGTACAATCGGAAGGAGACGTGTCTGTCGCTACACAGTCACGGCGCGAGCTCGTCTTACCGACTTTAAAACTGTGGAGGTACAAGGAGGTCTCGTCTCATTACCATTAGGGTTTCCAGAGAAACCGAGAGGAACATTTGAATATTGTGGAATTGTAATTTTTATTTATTTATTTATTAAAGGCATATCAATAGTATACATATTATATACTAGCCAATAGCCATAACACAGTTGAATACAAAATTAAAAATTCTGATATGCATACCAGTGACAGATGTACACAACACTCACGGGATCATAAATTCCATGTACATACAATTAAATAATAATAAATATAAATAAAATAAATAAAATGTTTATTTGGTGTAAAAAGCCAGGTTACAAAATAAATCTTAATATCTAAACAAAGTCTAAAAATCTGTGAAACCTGAACTACCTTAGGTCCAAGCCTGTGTTTCAGGTTAAAAATGTACTGAAATATTTAAAACACAATAATATTGCTTATAAAACTAAAAAAATTTATGTCTAAATTAAATGAAGCTAGTCTCTAAGTATAACAGGTGTGCGTGTACAGTTTCATAAACAAACGTAAGCAAAAATAATCTAAGTCAACTATAATAAAATTATTTGCTTACTTCAAGTAATACCTCGGTTTGATCGTATGTTAAGGTGTGTACATAATTATGAAATAGTTTTTTACAGTGAAAGTGATTGAGGCTATAAATACTTAAATCTCTATTTATTCTATTGTATAAAAATGGACCAAGAAAGATAAAGAATCTTTTTATAAAAGCGTGTTTTGACACTGAGGTTGAAGTGCAAACTATATCATTCCGCCTTTTGTTAGTAAGATTGTTAATATTGAAGCTGAGTAGTGAGTGTTGTTTGAGTATTAGCTGTACTACATAGATTTGGCGAACAGTTAAAACTTTGCAGGATCTATATAGCATCGATGTAGGAAAGAGAAAGGGATGGGAAAATGCAACTTTTAGGAGCCATCCTAAGAGAGCCATCTCTGAGCACGTTCTTGAGGGAGTATAATAGTTTTTGATGCGCCACCCCAAGAAGTAACACAGTACTGGATAATTGACTGACATAACGCCAGGTAGATTTGAGTGAATAGTTTAACATCTCTGATTTGTCTAATTTTTTTAAAAATGTACATCAATTTCCTGACACGTGCAACCAAAGCGCTGATGTGTTGTTTTAAACAAAGAGTTTCATCAATTGTGATGCCTAGATATCTGATGGAAGTAGTTTTTAATATACAAGCAGGCAGTTGCATGTGCCCAGTGGACTAATTCCACATTTTTGTGCGTATAAATGGGGTGTAACAGAGGCAATTGGACTCTTGCGCATAGAAAAGTGAATAAATTTTGTCTTCTCCGCATTTAGTGTTAGTATATTAGAGCAAAGCCAACTATTAACTGAATCGAAAGCCAATTGAGCATTACAGTACAGTTCAGTGTCGTTATTGGATGAAAAAATTAGGGCCGTGTCGTCAGCGTATGATATTAGTCTCCCATGATGCATCTCGATGTTACATAAATCGTTGATATAGATCAAAAATAGGATAATAATAGGTATGTGACCATACAATATTATGATACAATCGAGCTGGTCCGATGTTTGGACTGGATGATGACTGATGGGACCATGAACTGCCTGCTTGTATACATGTCGAGTTTGGGCTCTGTCAGATCCTTGTGTACGGTGCATCAACGGCACTCACACTTAGCAGTACTGTCCTAGCCACCTAACGCACGTCAATTTTGCGCCAAAATGAACGAAACTACCCAAGGGCATGGAGTTAAAAAATAATTTAAAATTGTTATCAAACTCATCAATTTCATTCACTCGTACGTATACGTAAAGCTGTAACAGTACAGAGCAATGTAGTACCTAGTTGAGTAATTGTCTCGTTGGTCGAATCAATGATACGTGCCGTATGTACGCGCGACGCGAGCGACACGTGCGTCGCGCGCACGTCGCACGCACGGAGTGCACCACACCGCCACGGTCGCCAACTGATTAAACTTTATAACAAGCTATTTGTTTGCGAAGACGCGATCGAAATGAAAACAAGACGACCGACGAACCGCAATGAACGGCAACAGACGACTATTTTCAAGTTGTACGAATACGACAAGAAGCTCGACGACACCACGTCAACTCTTTTCATTAGACGCTGGTGGCTTCCGTAGAGCTGCGCAGCACATCACAGCTGGCTTAGACATACCGAGAGTGCCAGAGGGTCGCCAACCACCCGACACCAGGCGATCGGTAAAGTTACAACAGTTATCAGAAAAATATTAAAGAAAAATCTAAACCATGTTTCAAGTTGTAGAGATTTATTTCTTGTCCCCGTTTCAATAAAATATTGTTGAGACGTACGCGCATGCGCAACACTTTGTTCCTCTAAGGACACTTACTTACTGATCAGAGATCATAGATAATAAAATAAGATACTGACGAATTGACTGCACGGTTGGCGCAGTGGCTGGGCAACCGGCTGCCGCGCAACGTGTCGCGGTTTCGATTCCCGCACGGAACAACTCTTTGTGTGATCCACAGATTGTTGTTCCGGGTCTGGGTGACATGAGTATATGAAACTGTATGTTTATAAACGTACCCACGACACAGGATACAATCGTAAATTCGTAATGTTGGACAATGTACATCTATCGATAAATTATTAAATCCAAACGCCATATTCAATTCAATTTTGCCAACTTTCTTTTTATTACTTTCTTGTGAATATAAAATATAGTGAACAGTGAGTAAAGTTCCCTATGTAAAGGAGGGTCCCTCGTCCAGGCGAGGTGGTCGTGCCTGGCGGGCTTTCTGCCCGACAGTTGTTCGTTGGGATTTTCTCCGTGTTAATTCGCATGTAAACTTCACATGTGCGATGTAGGAGTTATGTCGGCATCCGTTGATTTCCTCGTGGATCGTCTATCTATGTGCGACTTCTGTTATGTGACGCCAGAAAATAATAATTTTATTATTCACTAGCTGTTGTCCGCGACTTCGTCGGCGTAGAATAATGACTTCTGGCAGAGTTTGAGCTTTTGAATTAGTCTTTACCAAGGGATGTTCTATGGTAACAGATGTGATCAGGATTGATTCAGCACCTAGGTAGGTTATATATTTTATTTATTGTGAAATTAATTTATTTAAGTGGTTTCAAAATAAACAATCCCACAGCACAGGGGTTTTCCCCGTACACTTACAGTGCCCGTGTCATGAGCTTTCAGGGCTTCAGTGATTAAAATCATTATTTATCGTTTCACGGATAGCAAATAATTATTGTACGGAATTTCAATTAAATATGTACAGTTATTGAAAAGATAGAGAGCCCGGGACTTTAACACATCATAGTCCCCGTTGCCAGATTTTTGGGATAAAAACTATTAGACTTCGTTTCTCAGGTCTCAAAACTATCGTTGTACCAAATTTCACTCTATTTAAATGCAAACGATAGTTTAAGATATAGGTCCATGGTTTCAAAGGTAAAGTTTTAAAGTTCTGTCCATTCGCTCGCCGCCCGACTACAGCTAGACCCGAACGAACTACTCAATGAGTCATCAGACCACCACGGATGGAGCTCAATAGGGCTGGTGACGATATGGAGCCGCGGAGGACTTAGCGAGTTGGCGGGGCGCCGGCTCGACGTGCAGGAACAGGGTGGTTTTTAGTCAGTACGAGTCTGATACCCTCCCGCGTCACCCTGATTTTAGCCCCTTAAAAAAAGTCCCGGCATTTTAAAACATTGTTCCCATTCCCGTGAGATTTTTGAGATACAAACTATGATACGTCCTCACTATGCTCCGGTGTAAAACCATCGTTGTGTTGAATGTCAGTCAAATAGGTTCAGTGGTTTAACTCGTCGAGTACCGGTTTTATAGACACAATTAAAGAACAATGGGTCGCGGTCACCGGTGACCGCTTGGTGTTTGACAGTTTAAGACATAGACAGTGTCGGGATTAAACAATCTTCTGAGATTTCCAGGGTACTACTCTGGTTCTAATAACGTGGCTTGGTTTGTATCGACGCGGGGCGACGTTACTATTGCATATTTTTAAATTAAAATAGGTATTATGCCATAACCGCAACAGTGACATATGATATGGCGGAATTTTTCGTTGATATGAATGTCTTCTATTAAAGTCTAGTACACCACTTGTCCCTATTATCCATAACTTCACAGTGTAGGTAAGCAATTATAAGGAATTGTTTTTTGGTAGTTTTTCAATCAATGGGTTAACATTATCTAAAGGACACCGCCAAACTTTCATAGTTTTAGCCTCGACGGACTGAAATGAAATACTGTGGATTTTCAAGGACTAATAGTATTCAGCTATGTGTAATTAGTTTTTTGATATTATGACTTGTAATATAAAAAAATACGTATTCAAGTTAACTGATAATATTTTAATCATGGATTACTCTCTCTAGACTGCTGCCAGCTTCATTTTAATATGACAATTAAAACAAGATTGTCAATGATCTATGGACTTGTGTCAGATGACATAGAAATCTTTACTAATCAGTGTGTCTGTTTGTTTTTCCGTCTAGGCAAGCTAGTGTATGGATAAAAAATATATTCTATTACATAACTTGAATGCGTATATTTTTTTAAATTCGTGGTTTTTTAGAGGAAAGCTAGATAACAGCGTGGGCGCATGGCTTACTCAAATACAACATTTAAATATGCGTCATTAGATTAAACGGTGTCACAGTATAAAGTGATAAGAATAAAGATTCACAACTCTTCCCCTGTACGTGGTAGCGTGATAATATGTAGCCTATATGTTGCGGGTCAATATACTTGTTAGTAATAGTCTTGCAAACTTTTAAGTCTTACGTAAATCCATGCAGTACTTTTTGAGTTTATCCCGGACATACGTACAGACGAGTAGACAACATTTCTAAAAACCATATTTTCGACTTCAGTATGGACTGTAGACCACGCACTAAAAATTCTTAAAAAAAATATCTTCAATGTACAGTTCAAGGAGTAACATAGGCTAAATTTATTTTGGAAAAAAAATTGAATCTAAAAAGTTTTGTTCTACAATTCATATTCTACGCGGACGAAGTCGTGGGCAACAGCTAGTATGTAAAAGAATATAATCTACATCTACACTAATAGTACTATAGAGGAAATATTTGATGTTTTATTGTTTGTTTGAATGGAATCTCCTCCGAAACTACCGGGACGATTCGAAACATTATTTTACCGTTGGAATCCTATACTATCGATGCTGAACATAGGCATAAATTTAATAAAACAGAAACAAGAGAACCGTCTGAAAATTTCGATAATGTAACCCGATGTGTGAAAGATCTAACAAAAAACTCCATTGCTTAATTAAGCCTTTGACTGCCAATTCTAAGAATAATGTAACAGTTTTCATAATACTCCACGAAATGCTCCATACGAACTTCCAGCCCATGTTTTTGGGAAGTGGTGGGTTAGAAAGAAACAAAATGTCGCCTATACTACTTTCAATCCTTTCTACTATCTCAACTCAGTAAAAAAATCACGTCAATTTCTAACAAAACAAACAGACGTAAACAAATTTATAATATTAAGTATGCTTTTCTATGTTATCTGCCATATTTTTGACCAGTGAGTTTCATGCCAATGGAATATTAAACAATCATTAAGGTATGTAAAGAGGCTGAATACTAATTTTATTAACCATTGAACCTATTTGATTGTAATTCGGCTCAACGAGAGTTTGAGACACTGGCACTGGAAAGGAAATCTCACGGGACAGGAACTATGCGTTAAAATTCCGGGACTCTCTATTGCTTAACCGCTTAAATGCTACGGGCATTTCGACAAAATAGAAAATACATTGTGTCTCGCGTGGATCGTTTGAGTACAACTCGGTACAACGACAGTTTGACACTTGGTAAATGACGCCTGATAGTTTTCAACCGCTGTACCTATTTCATTGGAATTCAAATGGAATTTTAATCACTGAAACCTCACGGGAATGGATACTATTTTTTTTTTTATTGGGGAATATCATCGAATGGGTGCTCCCGCCTGGGTGAGGCGGGAGGGAGTGTCAGACTCTTACTGACTAAAAACCACCCCGTTGCTTCTCCTGCCTGTCGAGCCGGAGCCTCGGTCGGGAATGGATACTATACGGGTAAAATCCCAGAGGGATTGTTTATTTTGTGAAATCACGAAAATTAAAAACATTATTGATTCTGATGAAATTTGTTACACAGCATTCCAATCAACCTTGTAGAAGACTAATTAAAGAATCCAAAATTTGCCAGAAGTCATTATCAGAGTCAACAGAAAACTAGAGCATTGTTCACCCGTGTTCGCGGTTATGGAGCCTAGCACACACATCACCAACAAGCCTGCCCGCCGCAGCGCTCATCAATACATTGTCGCGACATTAGGCAACTGTGTACTAACCACTCTGTGGTTTATTTAATTACCGTTGAGCTTTGTAATCAGCCTAAGTTGTGCGTTAATCACGTTAAATGGAGCTCGCTCGATCACACGCGCCCCGTAGGCCGTAATGGCGCCTGTGTACCTACTGATGCCGCGCTGAGCGCTGAGTACGTATAGTACAAGCTTGCATTATGTATTTGCTTGACAGCGCGCCGCAGTTAATTGGTTCAGTGTGTAATTGGACGTGTTCCAATATGTTGACTAAATTAATTCTCCATTACAATACTGTACTGGTTGGAATCGATTTGTTCTGCAGTTTCTGTACCGCGGGATCTCATTGTTCCAGCTTCTTTGTGTATTCTATATGTACATTCACGTAATAATATTATGCTCAATATTTGAACCTTTCATTGTTTGTGAGTAATAACATATAACATCACGCCTTTTATACCTCGGGAGGTAAGCAGAGTTGCAGATTTCGGCACTTAATGCCACTGTACAATGTAGCGCCCACTTTCATTATTTATGTCATGAGTCCCATGTAATAGAGGGTGAGCCTATTGCCATATACCGGACACATTTCCAGACTCCGCAGTCACACTTGCGACCACTCGGCCAACGAGGCAGTGTGAGTAATAAAAAAGTTACATCCGGGTGCAGTGCAGCCTACCGGCAGTCCCGGAGAGTCCGCCAGACACATCCCTGGCTCGAGGCTGCGGGCGGCGCGCGGCGGGCGGCAGGCGGCGGCCACACTGGGTGCATCGTCTTTTCGTACTCTGTCTGAAAATGAATTAAAAAATAAGTTTGTCTGATTATATCGTGTTTGATATCAAGTAAAATAGCATAATTAATTTTTGAGTATACATAATGAAACATAAAGTACACAAAATTTTATTAAATGGTATGAATGAACAAAATCACTCTTACTAAGGATACTTTTTAAGTACATACATACCTATTATAAGTTATGCTATGGGTAACGCACCGCCACTTAGTCGAATTAAAACCGAAGTCAACGTATAAGTTGAGTATCATTCCGCGGCCGCGGCCCATGTCAAGCATTCATTATTTCAAGTCTTATTACTTGGAAATACAAAACTTCGTTAAAACTTTTAATTTTCTACTGTAGGTGCGCATTTCAGTAACATCATACTTGCCCACGCTGTGATACCCGACACCGCCGGCGCGGGCGGCGCGGCAACGCTTCCCGCCGAACTTACCTCGCGACACTATACTTCACACCTGCCCTATAAGTTCAGTAAAAAGCAGTTTTTTTCTAATACTAATTTGATTATATTGTAAAATGACTCATTCGTATTAATGTATTCGTATTAATGTATTTCATTTAATAATACTTTTGCGCGCTGTGTTCCACGGCAAAACATGCTGTACATAAACATTTTATTCAACATCTTGTTACCTACCATGTTTTGTGCAAATAAATGATTTGATTTGATTTGATTTGAACTAGTATATAGCCGACTTCCCAAAACGGACGGAGTAATCCACTCGTCTCTATGATTTTTACTAAATGCCTTTATTAAAACTAGACTTAAATAATGCTTGAAATGCAATATTGGATAATACTGGTTCTTACTACACAGCACGTTTTCAAAATAGATTATTCTCCTCGATCGCGAGACATCGTACGTATAAATAAATAAATAAATAAAAGCTTTATTCATAATTCGAAAACTCAAAATACACAAATATACCTTAAAAACGTATACAATTGACTCGAGCAGTTTCAGCAAGTGCGAGTGCCACCCGCACCCGATTCCATGTCGAACTAGTTTGGCTCAGGCTGGCCCAGTCCGAGAAGCCTGTCCTGTCAGTTCTAGCCAGTCGCGTGTATGTGCATGAATTCTAGCAGGGGTTATTACTAGTTTCATTTCAATAAATATTTAAAAATGTCTAGTCCTAACTAGGAAAACCATGTTCTATCAAAAAACGGGGTTTACTTGTAGCCTATACACATAATGGCCATGTACACCGGAACTCTGAGATTTCGTATAATATTGTGTCATTTCGAACCTTTTTCAATCGATATAATGACTGTAAATGATAAGATAAGAAATGTTCATGAGTGTGTGTAATGTACACTTAGACACACAGTAACGGGAACACATTACTCTTGCAACCACGTTGCACCGGTTGCACGAGTGTGGCATCGTCTGAAACAATAGCTATACTATAAAGCACTACGACCTCATGAACAATACAATAATTTCAAAAGTAACTCTGTGTCTACTGTCTATCACTTGGATTTCTTGGGCGTCTGTAGATAAAGTTTTAGATTTTTGTAATTTTTAACCATTTCACTAAAACTATGTGTACCTATGTATAGCAAGAGAGACGAAGGCTTTAACGTAACGCAGCACCTGCCGTATTAATAGAACCATATCTTCGTCAGGCAGTTATTGTTGATTTTATGTCTCCGTTACGTTTTCGTGTTCATAATGTTTTATGGTGTATAATAGACACAAAAAATCTATTTTATTTAAAATTATTATCTTTTTTTGATTCCGGAATTAGGCTAATAATATCGTACCTCGATTCCGAAACCTTTTCATATTACAAACATTAGCAATTAACCAACAATCTCAAAGAGAAACCGCTAGGAACGAAACTTCCCAAGCTTTGTAAGACGGCGCCTTGTAGTGTAGCGCCAAATGACTTGCTAAAAGGCGACAGTAATGGATGGAATGTCCGCTCGTGAGCAAGGAGGAGTGCGGTCGAGCGTGGTCGAGAGGGACGCTTTTGCCTCCGTAATTATGATTGATGTGCGCGGTGGCGCCGCGCAGTGGTTCACCCGGTAACAGGTTCGACACTCTACGAGGCTCGTTGACGACACTGCGGCCGCACGTGTGACGCGGCGTGCGCTGGACTCGCTGTTATAGCAGTGGTCATCACGGTGTCCACAACTACCTCTTAACGCAAGTGCTTACCGGATATGGAAGTTTCGGGAGATACTTGAAACGCCCGGGTGTCGTCACTGCGAAGATTAGTATAACCGTAGTAGAACACATCGAAGGGCGTGCCAAGAAGCTCATTAATGATGATGCGCTTGTCAAGACCAGCTTCAAAGCCACAATCACAGGCACAAAGTTGCAAGCCTTTCAGTTTTTTCCCGGAAACATTTCGATAAGTGTGCGGGGAATTTCAGAACTGGATTCTCCCAAGTCCTTTCCATTATCGTACCACAAGACAATCGGCGCTTCTTGGGAGTGGGTGGGATTAAAGATAACCACCACGAACCTTCAAGTTTCTTTATACGAACAGCTCAGGACTGGAATTAGTCGCGCATGACTTGCGGGGAGTTTTTTATATTATGTTAAATAAATGAATGTTGATTTTGATGTTGAAATAGGAAAATATGGAAAACGCGAGGACGCGCTACTAACAGTAGGTACGGGCAGAGCACAGCGAGCAGGCCGCTGTCGGAGACACGAAGCGACAATGTCGTCTAATTTACTTATTTCCGCTCCTTTGAGACGACAAGCATTCGCATTGAGTCGAATTCTTAGGCTGAGCGCCCATTCCTGCCTTATTCAATTGTGGCGGCTAATCGTGTCGCCAAGCCCCCGGCTGCCCCCCCCCCCGGCCTCCAGCCACCCTCCCCTCGCGGACTCCGTCACCACGTCGCTGTTCGGGGACGATGTATTACAAAAGGATTTTTTCAACCGATTTCCTCACAAAATGGATACACCCGGATTTTGATCAAACGCAAATTTACCTTGTTGAGGAATAATGTACCTACCCGTCCTTATCCGCGCGGTACAAGTATAACTAGCAACGGATCCTCAAGTACCAGTAGTTTAGTAAACAGTCCAATACATGTATAGCATTACAGGGTCCGTACAGCGAGCAGGTTCGAGGTCACGACGCCGTGAAGCAACAACAAAATAGAATAAGGAAAGCATAATATCGGGAGCGGCTTCTTGGAAGCTGAGGCTCAATGTGTTGTCGTCTCTGATTTTTATTATAATATGTATGTAATTTCATTGTAACGGTGCATATACTCGTTGGACAGCACCGTCAGAAGCTGAAGGGGCCGAGTCTGGTGACATGATGGGACACAATGCCACATACTTTCACAATGTCCTCCCAAGTAGTAGAGAATGAGCCCATTATCGTACACCGGGCATACTACTACTACTACCCCTCGACCACGGTAATATTCATAGTAATGTAGATTTTTTATTATAATAAGATATTATTATCATTTGCAATTTGTAATTTACAATTATTATATTCGAGCAGGATTCACTCATAATGGAAAAAACAAACTCAAAATACATAGCAGTTAACATTAGGCAGGAGACTTGCACGCAGCTTGCAGACAGTGACCTGAAACATTGCATAAATATTGATTATGTTCATTAATTAAACACACGCGTAATATGAGGAGCAACTAAATACCACGCGATGTCGCCGCGGTGACAAATATCACACTATTAAAATAAATTTACGCCTCGGAGAGGGTTCACGGTGCGTATTAAAATACTAGCTTCTGTCAGCGGCTTCGGCCACGTGTAAAATGTCTATTTAGTTATTACTTCAGACCATAATCTACCTCTATTCCGAATTTCATTCCGGTCGTTTTAATATGACTGAGTAACAAACATACACACAAACACATAAACTCATATATTTTCACATTTATAATATCGAGTCAAGCTAATTTCAACCATCGGCCCTACGCTTACAGCGTCAAGTCTATGGATGAGTATTGTAAACGTAAGAGTAAACAAATATATTAGCAGAAAGCTCCGAACTGCTAAGCCATCAGGAGTTACACGTGTTATTGTGAGTCAACCATAAAACATAGACGTGTGCTGTTGTGGGATATTATTTAGATCATATTATGTAGAACATTTCCGTCATACATGATTTCTATGTAGCTTTAACTATTAAGCCCGCTCACGCGACGGAAGCTTAAAAAATGGAGTAACTTCTCCCGTTTTCCCAACACTTTCCTTCACTGCTCTGCTCCTATTGATTGTTGCGTGATGAAAACTATACTATAACCTCCCCAGGAGTAGGAAGAATAATTGTACCAAGTTTCGTTAAAATCCGTCGAGTAATTTTTATTTCTATTATATACAGAATGATTCACAAATAAGTTGAGTGGTTTAAAAGAAAGAGCCCCGGGATGTTAGCACATAACCCAGAAAACCCAGTCTCAGCAGAAGCTCCAAAATGATGAAACTACTATACGATGTTGTGGTGACTGCGGAGGGAGACACATCTCACACTCACAAACGATGTCCAAGCGTTCAAAAGGAAGATTGGTTTATTAGGGAAATCTCGACCTTAACCATATTGTGTAAGTCACAGCCAGCTGGCTAAATAAGTCACTCAATTAACGGCCTACCCTGTGTAACAAATGATATCGCAGTAGGTACCGAGTACCATTCTGGTTGCTGTTTATTTCTGATGGCGATTCAATTTATCATGCGGCGGTATGTAGGACTGCCTCAAATTAGTTCGATTAATACGGAAATGTACCGGAGCCATGAACTGGGAAGAAAATTTAGAGCATTTTTAAAAACTTTTTAATAATTATGTTCTTTGTTAAAATACAATTCTCATTATAGTGAGCTTGCGTCACCGACTTCTTAACTTTCAGTGGGAATTGGGGGCAATACTTAGTACAATGAATAATATGTAGGTATCTCCATTATACAGTATACGTATACATATATGTATGTTCGGGCATTACTGCGTGGTTTATGAATTTTGATGATTCTTTTTTTGTTCGAAGGGATATAAGGATCGAAGGTGGTCGCATTATTACCAGGTCAGGTCAGGTTGATTATGGGATGTCGGGGAACAGAGGGAAACATTGAAAACATTTAAGGGGAACTCGTGCATTTGTTAGATTGTCATTAAATTCTTAAAAGCACTACAATTTGCTACAGAACATAGAATAATAAGATCTTCGACCTGTATAAGTCTTGTCAAAGAAAAATAGAATCACGTAAATCGACCCATAACCCTCGCCATAATCGTTGTACATACATACATAGAAAGAAATCTCCCCGTTTTGAGAAGTCGGTTAGAAAGTGCTCATCTCTTTCAAAGATAATGTACGTACCCGCATATTCCGGGCGGGAAATTACTCCATAAATAAGAGTGTGATCGATTTATAGATCAAAGAATTCACCACAAAGGCCTTAAATGTCGCTCCACGTGCGCTAATGAAACAAGAGCGATGATCCCGCTCACACACCGCGCCGCGCGCCGCGCGCCGCGCCCGCCCAAAGTCGCGTCAAATTGCCAATTTGGAAGCCCTCCCTAGGCACAACCCGCGCGCGTGCCATCGCTCGGTACCTTGAGCGTGGTAGCAGTACCAGCAGCTATGCTCACGGTGCACGGTGACACCGGCATCGGCACAGCACTGAATGGTTACCAGATCTCATTCCGGAACGTTACTGAGACACAAGTTCAGTTTGAGCCTAACTTCCAGCAACACCGTACAGAACGATTTATGAATATGATTTCGGACTTACAAATGACCGGCGCGGAATTACGGACGAAGGTAATCTCAGAGTTTCAAAACAAAGAAGCTACTCAATATAATGTTATTATTACGTTAGCGTCGGTTGCGGTTCACCCGACGACGACGGTGCTATGTAAACCGAGCTTCACAAAAAGGGACGAGTTCCCAGAGGCTGCCTTTGTGTCGCGCGTTAATTTACTTCATTATTTCAGTTATTTCGAGGCGAGCAACCGTCGAGCATCTACTCCACCTCGACTGCCCTCCGACATCAATCACATCTCGCACTCGCGTGATTGATTACAATCCGATTGCAAACTATATGTATAAATAATGTGTTCTAAAAATGTTTCACTACAGCAACCACTAAACGTGTACCTACATATTATATAATATCTTATAGACACACACACACACACACACCGCCACATCAGATTGATAAAATCTATATTAGTATAATGTACGACGTGACGTACGTACGTTACATGGCGGATGGCGGCCGGCTGCTGCGCGATGCGTCGCGGGCTTGCGGGCGAGGGGAACAACAATTTGTGTAATGTAATATCTATTGAAATAGATTATTGTGTAAAGTATAGTTCAGGTTCAACACAACACAGGAGCAACACCTGCTATGTGTGAGTGTGTATACTACACGTTGCTGTGTGAGTGTGTATACTACACGTTACTGTGTTTTGATATGACGTAAACATTTATGGCGCTGCTTGAAGGTCGCTTCCGATAGATAGTGTAGAGGCGCTTGTAATGTAACCGTCCCATGGCGACTATTACAAATTGTACCCATTACAAGACAGTGAGGCGGTTGCAAGCATCACTTGTGTCTTTATCTGAGTCGGTTGTAAGTCCCGCCACGTCCGCATATTATATTACCGTGGCGGAGAGGTTCCGCAGCAGCCCCCCCCCCCCCGGCTCCCCCCCCCCAGCCCTGTAAATATCATTGTGTGCTACCAAGTACAGCTTCCACACTCGACAGGAGCACCGGCCACTCTGACCGATACTCGATGCGACTTCCTCAGCCCAGCTTTAAGAAGTTGTGTAGGTACTTGCAAGCAATACCGCGTCCTATACATGGACTAAACAATCACAATATGTTACGTGATATCGTATAGCACTCATCTCCGGTCCCCGAACATTATTACCGGAGACTTGAACCTGACGTCTATATGAGGAAGAATTCAGCTCTGGAGGCGACATGTCGGATGCCAAGTGGAGACATGACACCGAGCGAACACTTTTTTTCATGTACTTTGCGTTTATTGTTTGCGTGTGTGTGCGTGTGTGTGGGTGTGTGTGCGTGAGATACTCGACACTGATGCGCCTTTCCTGTAATATACTTGTGACGCGTGATGTTGTAATCCCATACTCCGCCTGAATGGAGACATCGCGTTAATATAGCTGTTAAGGCACGGGGATAACATAATTAATGATATATTTACTTTGCGAAATAAAACGTTAAACCATTTTAGAGAGAGAGTTATTTAAATCAGCGGCGCTCAGTCGCACAATTACAGCAAGCTGAGCGAGCCTCGAGTGGAGCTCAACAGGCAGTAAATCACGGCGCGGCGCCGCCCCGGCCGCCGGCCGCCAGCCGCAGCCAGCACGCGCCGCGCTCGCCAGCCACCGTCTCGGGACGGGCACCCGGTACAGACAAACAAACGATGCAATACGTCAACTTGTTATTTATTTTTCTATTTTATTTATTTTTAAACAGTCACAACGGTAGAAAACATATTACAGTAACTGACTCTCTATAAACATAGTAAACAAGTTCGGTTACCGTATAAATATATTTCATGTACTAATGTATGTTCTTTCTTCTTCTTCCTATATATCACCAACCGTGTTAAAAACGAAAAAAATTAAACATCGTTTAAGAACACCGGCGTCAACCCCCCTTTTTTTTTAAATCGGCTAATTAATATACTAAAACCTTCTCCTAAGTGCAACACTTTTCTAAAAACCGCATCGGTTCAACCAATCGCGAGATAGTCGCGCACACACATACATACATATAGTATATGTACATACATACATACATATAGTATATGTACATACAGACAAACTGAGAACCTCCTTCGCTGTTTGAAGTCGGTTAATAAAGATTACTATTGTTTGTACTAAGTACGTACGTACGCCACGTAACACGCACTGAAAGTCAAGAAGTCAGTGCCCCAATTCCTGTACAAAAATATTAATGAAAACTTGGGTAGGTGTATCTTGTATCGATAAGTTACCAATACAATAAGTTGCTACGGGCCCCTATACTTTATCCCCACCACGACAAATCTTACCATGCGTTGGTTCAATCCGGGGGCTATACTCACACAGTGCCACACCGAAGCTAACAGTCGCCGTAGCGTGCAAATTAAGACTTAGGCAACAGCCGAGCCAGGCGTAGCACTCCCGTAGCACGTGTACAATGCTACGAGGCTACGCGACGCTACGACGCTACGACGCTACGACGCTACGACGCTACGACGCTACGAGCTACTACGTTAGGACATAAGTATAATATACTTATATTATATTATACGTAATATTATTTATGTATAATATCAATTCAAAGCAACGAACACAAACATGGAGTGAGCAAGAAATTGTTGGAATTCGTTTGGAAGACCATGTCTCTCGTTCGCTGTTACACTAGCCACAGACTGCAAACCCCTGTAGGATATACTTTCAATTTATATTAATGTTAAATTAATATTTTCTGCTAGAAAAAATAATTATATGATCCTTGAACTTGGGTTTCCATTGTCTAAGGGGTGTGTGACTGTCGACTGTGGGGACCCGCGGGTTACTTGTTTCCTTTTATAAAAAAAAGAACTTGTTTTGCCAGTTCATTCATAGATACAGCGTATTGTTTGTATGAGATAGGCCGGCAAAAGTGCAGACGGGTCATCTGACGGTAATAAAAAAGCAATCTGCGCTGTCCATGGACACCGGCAACACCAGAGGAGTTACAAATACGTCGCCGGCCTTTCGGGGGTTACCGATAGGGAGATTGGGGATATTGGGAGGGGAGGGATTGGGCCTCCGGTAACCTCAATCACGTGGCAAAACACAATACTCGCGTTGTTTCACGCACAGGTTTCACGGCAGTCATTTGTGAAGCCTTGGTATCACTTCGGTCGAGCCGACCCATTCGAGCCAAAGTGGTTCTCTCACGCTTAAAGTGACACACACTTGGGTTCGATTCCTTCAATTTGTTCGTCCTACCGGAGGAAAGTGATTATTTAATATTCAGCCTTGATTCATTTAGTAGAGGAGGCAGGACGCTGACGCTGTGCATGATGACGCCTGGCCACTAAATGAGTGATCTAAGTCGCGGCCGGAATATTGAGTAGTGGACCGGGCCGCGCGCACTCTAAACACAAGAAGGCACTCTCGGCGGGGCGTTTAGTCGACCTCATTATGTTTGTACTGCAATCCACCAGAACAATCGGAGCGCGTCCGTCACGTCCCTCGTCCAGCTCCAGCGGGCTCAGTGCTGAGTGCTCGCTGCCTGTGTCATACATAACAAAATCATTTACTATTTTTTATATTAAACACACCAAAGTGTGTGTGTAAAAGTGCCCTTAGAAGAGCTACCTGCAGTACGTAATACGTACGTACGCTATTAATGTGAAATGTTTTCCACGTACTACAGGGCCGCAGTTAGCAAAGAGGCACTCAAGGCTCGTCGAGGTGAGGCTTACGGCCACCGCGGGACAACCGACGCCTAGTAAACTTGTGCTACGGCGCAGCATTAAACTACAGGCGGAAAATCTCAAATGTCAGGGTCGCAACAACCACTGTGTTGTTAGTTTGAAGATTATTAAAGTAACATTCAAAATGCTAATATTGACCTGTCGGCTTGTTACTACAATATTGAGCAACAAACTCCGGACATTTGCATAAACTCACAGACAAGTCCGACGACCAGTAACAAACTAACAAACAAGCGCTCGGGCGGCGAGCGGCGCGAGCTCGCAACACGCAAGTTTGTGGGTGTAACGAGCGGCGAGCGGCGAGCGGCGAGCTGCGAGCTGCGCGTCGCCATCAATCAGCAGGCGCGCCCGCCGCTCCCCATCGCCCGTCACCCGCCACACCGCCCACACATTCTTTTCTTATTTCTCCAAGTAATTTAATTAAACTGTCGAAGAATCTTACTTTTATCACATTAATGAGAGTTATCTAAAATGTGTAAGATAACAATCATTGAAGATTTACTTTGAAACATAGTCTTGTCTATGCGCTCCACTAGGTGTACCTAGCGGCTCAGTACTAGGGTCTCGCATTACTGGCGCCTCCACTGGGAACCATAATGATCTTGGCTCACATCTATTCCATAATATTTAAAGCCACATAAAAGAGTCAACTACGTGATCATAAAATTGACCAGGGAGAGACATCTGGGGGAATTTGGGAAACTTCCATATTGGTTCAGATGATTACACACTTATTTACACTTTATCTATTAGTTCGTTCGCGTGAAATACTTATTTTGGTAATATTTTTTGTATTTATTTATAACTTGTTCAGAAGCTACTTAATGAATAAAATTATGTACATGTATATTTATTCCCACCTGTATAACAACCAAGGTTTTAATTGACTTATAATGGTCATATTTAATAAATTTTACTTTAATGTCCGTCGGGTAGATTAATTTCAAAAAAAGATTAGACGCGTATTTTACTTATTTACTATCTTCACTTACAAAATTACATACTACATAATAACATAACATCACGCCATTTATCCCCGAAGGGGTAGGCAGAGGTCCACATTACGGCACTTAATGCCACTGTACAATGTAAACCCACTTTTCACTATTTATGTTATGGGTCCCATGTAATAGGGGGTGAGCTTATTGCCATATACCGGGCACATTTCCAGATTCCGTGCTACTACTGAGGTTTGTACAAACCCAGTAATACTTTGTCCGACCCGGGAATCGAACCCGAGACCCCTTGCCCGGCAGTCGCACTTTCGACCACTCGACCAATGAGGCCAATGGGGCAGCAAATTACATACTTTCGAAGATATAGAGGTATTGATTTAAAATGTCCTGTGACGTCCCACTCGTCCCCGTCCCCGTTCGTAAAATATGCTTTTGAAATAAAATTCCCAACCACATTCAAAGTTCAATAAAAGAAAAACCTGGAAGCATTTTACATAAGACACTTCGTGGAATGGAGGGCAATCCTCGATGATTTTGCAGCAGTTGACGGAAATGTACTAATAACTCTGTCAGTCCTTTTGTTATGTAATAGGAGGCAAACGAGCAGACACCTACTTCTGAACTTTCAGAAGATAGGCAGGTGAGTGACGACTAATAGTTATTATATATTCTGCAGTAATTATAATAAGCAGTCAAATATTATTACACCAGCTCATTAGTCCGTAGAGTGTCAAAGACCCGACACGGCCACAGAATCGTGACATGACAATATTATTCAATTTTCGTCTCCGCATTAATCCGGAAATGAGACTCGAACCAAATCCGCTTCGGAAGCTCGTATTATATGTATATTGTACTAACTTCTGCCTGCTGCTTCGCCCGTTGGTCTGCGGGATAAAAAGCCTGTGTGATATAGTGTTATTCCAGACCCCTTCATCATCATCATCCCGATCCCTTCAGCCGTCTTGACATGAAGGGGTAACAAACAAACATACAAACTTTCGCATTTATAATATTAGTAGAATTATATTATTCAATGTGTGAGTACAGACTGTAACAACATTATGAGTGTGTAGGACAGGCGGCTCGTCCCTCGCTCACTTACGTTGAACATATCTAGATTTGTGGCTGCAAAAGTTTTACCAGCAGCCGATACAGCCCAACCACCGCGCCAACATAAGTATACGTATAATGTAGTGTAGTCATATAGTAGCTATATAATGTCTTTTTTTAAGGGGGGGAAAATCATCGAATGACTGCTCTCGCCTGGGTGAGGCGGGAGGGAGTGTCAGACTCTTACTGACTAAAAACCACCCCGTTCCTTCTCCTGCACGTCGAGCCGGAGCCCCGGTTACCCGTTGGGTTCTCCGCGACAGCTATATAACGTCCGAAATGTTTTTTAATTCATTTGACACAATTCAAAAAGAAAATCGTTAATAATGACTGAACCGGACTATCGGCGACGCGGCGACGGGTCGCTGCATGCTGCTCATAAATATGAGCCTCTAGAATGGTTAGAAACTAGTCGAGTTCCTCGTCAAACAGTTATGTGAGTTAGCCGAAAACATAATAATGAATACAAAGCAATATCTTAATTAAAATTATGACCTGTGTCAAACAGCAGTCCATTTAATTGTACTGCATTAACAATAGGGTTCTACCAAATAATATAAAAAATCTAACTCAAACAGTACAACACCCAGTGGCCAGTGGCGATGTACTACATCTTTGTTCAGCAAATAAAATATTGATTTGATATTCTTACCTTTTCTAACAAAACGTTCAATAGATGACAGATGTAGGCAATGTCAGATGTCAGCACGACGTGTGAGTCCGCAGCGGGGCGGGCGCGGCGCGTGCCACCTTATTGGAAATATAAATAATGTCGTGTGTACGGTGTACCTTATACACAGGTGTATAGTGACGCGGTGCGCCCTCGGTGGCGGGTTACGAGTGTAGGACCCTCCAAGTCAACACACTACACTAAGGGAATCGGGTCCACTTCGTCGACCCAATGGATTTTTTGAAAACCTCTATTGGCAAATAAGTCAACATCAACACATGTCTATTTCAATATTCACACAAGTACTTATTTACCTACAAAGCGGTAGAAACTGTACAAACAGACCAGGAGTTACATTAGTAGGTAGGTAGCTGGTACAAGACGAGGCGAGGCGACGCGACGCGACGCGACGACGGCGGCTAATCGCGCATCATTAGTTGTGCGAGCCGCGGCCTCCTGCTATTAACGTCAGTAATGACATTCCTCGGCCAGTGGCGTGCCCTTGTCTTGTGCACGCTGTGGAATTACTCACTTAATGTTCAGCCATTCTCACGCTTCAAAGTTAACTGAAATTATTTACCAGCCGACGGAGACAATTATTTCAGTAAGTAGGTAGGAGGTACCTACTGTGTACATTTAGTTACACTTGACAATAACATTCTGAATTTCTGTTGCTTTGTCTGATCAGTGTGGGCGTTGTATTCTCACATTATTTAGAAACTGATGACATGCGGAGAAGGAAAACATCGGGAGGAAACCTGGGCTATAATTTCTTAAGGTAGGAACCGTCAACCCGCTCGCGCCGTTGTGACTACGATGCGAACTTTGTATGCGTTACGATCGTGGTGGTAGTGTGCTTGCTTTATTTAAAAAAATACAACTTGAATGGATCAGCGCGACCTCAATAGCACCCTGGCACTGGGAGTGCGTGGGAGGAGTGCAGCGTGGAGACGCGACTACTGAACAGTTTCCGACTTCCGTACATGATCCAACACTAACTGTTGCAAGATTATGATTAGGCGACCATCTACTACCGACAGAATAAATATTGGACGGCATAAACTTATTTTTAGGTACTAAGGTAATATTTATAAACAAAATAATTAAAATTTAACAAGTTTCCTACATTTAAGATAAATAGTTTTAATTCCATTGTTATTTATTAAGTGATAAGTAAGCCATTTTATTTCATTGTTAGTTCTACGTTTGTTTTTTACTTGTTACTGATATTATTATTTTTATTATCGACTTAAAAAAAAGGAGGAGGTACTATGTTCGGCTGATTGTTTTTTTTTTTTTTTTGTTTGGTCGCGCAGTACTCCGCCATTTGTGAACCAATTTCAAAAATTCTTGTTTTGTTTGAAAGGGTATACTCCCGAGATGGTCTCATTTCCATGAGGTCAGAATCTGATGATGGGATCCTAGGGAAACCGAGGGGAATTTTCGAAAATTCTATGGGGGAGTAATGCGTCTATAATGTTTTTCAATTACGATTAATAACACTCTAATTTGATAAGGGTTTGGATTCGACCTGATGATGGAGTCGACAGACAGTCGAGGGAACTCCTCAGCGGTTTATATTAACTACCTTGTGTTTGGGCTTGATTAATTTGTATCGATGAGAACTTTACACCTAGATAGAGTGGGGCTGTCATTAAGGGCCTGATGATGAAGAAGTGTCATTGTTAAGGGAACTCCTCAACGGTATACAGTAACTACCTTGTGTTTGGGCTTGATTAATTTGTATTGATGAGGACTTTACACCTAAATAGAGTGGCGCTGTCATTAAGGGCCTGACGATGAAGAAGTGTCATTGTTAAGGGAACTCCTCAACGGTATACTGTAACTACCTTGTGTTTGGGCTTGTATAATTTGTATTGATTAGAACTTTGCACCTATATATATATATATTATAAGTAACAAAACGGGTATATGTAGCTTTACACTGAAAATGTTAAAATAAAATAATAAAATAAAAACTGCGTTTAAAAAACCGACTCCAAAAAACCAAAAACCAAAATCTAATAACAAACAAAAAGTCAAAACTAAAAAGCAAAAAATAACTATTATTAGTACTGATAGGTTACCCCTCCACTGATAGGTTAGAAGTGGGTGCCATAAGCTCATATCATAATGATATAACTTAATGTCCACAAAATTGTGAATTACTTAGGTACCTATTAAGGTTTTAATGGATAATTTTGTATTGAACTTATGGCTTTAGGGTTTCCTTATTTGTATGAATAAGACTGGCATGTCTTCAGATAAAAGTCCTGTAAATAAATAATGAATCAAAAACAATGATTGAGTTACTGCAACCAGCCGTGCAAGCGGCCGCGGATTGGCAGTATCTGCAATTAAAGTTCACTTCTTCACTGATTCCTTCTGTCAACTGTAATATTCCAGCAGCCGGGCACAGACGGTGTACAGGGTGTCCCGTTAATTGTGTTTAACGATAGCTCAATTAAAAATCTTCTCCTTTTGTGATGAAACTGGGATTAGCATTATTTCAAGTAGGCAGGCCAGTCATTGTGGTACTAATTTAAAATTTGTATTTTATAATATTTACTGGAATAGTTTCAACTATACAATTTTGCTACAATTCGAAAAATAAATTTATTTTTCTTATAGTAGTTAGTTACTTTATGATTACGTTAAAAATGCTTGCTAATTGATTTATT